GGGGTACGCCTTGCCTTCCCACAAAGCTGTCAGAAATTCGTCCGCCACCTCTGCCAATTGTAAACCAATGCCCCTCGCTAACTGCTCCTTCAATTGTTCCATCTCGTCTTGCCCAACCCTTTGGTAATCCCGAAGTGCTATACCGTCGTCCAGTTGTCCATCGAAGGGAAGCATGGCCATAAATGCTCCCAAATTTTCCAATTTTCCTGCTTCTGAAAGGCGATTTTTGAACGCACCATATGTCAAGGTAGCGACTTCTGCATGCGCTCTTTTGAGCACATCTTCAGGGTTGCGCTTTCTGTTCGCCTTCTCCTTCTCAAGGTTGATAAGCTTATTAGCTAAAGCCCATGCTATCCATGACCTTAGGCCACAGTAGCCAGCTAACTGCTTAGCCTGAATCGCAATCTTGCAATATGCAACTGCTGCGCGGACTCTATCTTCTTCCTTGACCTCTAACTCTGGAAGCCGCCCATTTCCCCTCGAAGCTCTGATGTGATCCCTTAACTGTGCGATGGCATTTGCGTCGCGTAAATGTTCGGCCATAATGGCTACGGGACGGGGCTTTCGCTTGGATTGTGGCTCGTCGGATGGTGGTTCATTTGGGGCAGCAGCGCGTTTGTTTCTCCGTAACCTTGGTGATTCGACGGTTTTGCCCTGCTGCTCGCCGCACTCGTGCTGCTTTCCGCTTGCGTCTTTTGCCACCCTCGGTGCTTTTTACCGTGCACTGCGCAAGGTAGCGGCTTGCTGCGCATTGTTCCCAATGACAAATCCTGCGGGATAGGGGGTACCTTCGGACTTCCTCCTTCCTGATCTCCGGGGTCCTGCGACTTTGGTTTGCTGGTCATCGCCTGTGTTTTGCTCATCCGTGTGCTCGTCGCCAGTGTGCTGCTCTCCGGCGTGCTGCTCTTTGCCTGCATCCTTTTTAAGGGAAGTTGAGTTCTGGGGCTGATCGCTCGAAAACGCTATCTCATACGTAATCGGGTCGTGATCATTGCATTCCGCGTTGCAAGGGATATATTCCTCGGACCGATCTGTGGAATCCGTCCAGTTGACCGCTTCGGCCTGAGTGGGAGTGACGTTGAATCCGGAGTGGTAGGCGCCTGGGAGGGTAGTGACCAATTGCCCCGCTCTCTGCTTGAACTCTCTTACCACGACGCCCCCCTCCCGCAAGCGATCAACGCCGCCATGCAAAGCTTGGTGCCGGAGATATTGGTTGTGGGTTTGGCGTCACTCCCAGCA